TCTTCAGGCTACACTCAGACATTGTTAATTGTCACTCTCATGCCCTTTATGGCTCTGTGTGTGCCCATGTGCATATCATTTCATTCTGAGAATTGTTGTGTGCTTCGTTTTTCCAGGTCTGAAATCCAACACTGGGTCACAATTGCATTTGATTATGTCTCTCTCTCTCTCTCTTTCTCTCTCTCTCTCTTGTCTTTCATTACCTTGATACTTTTCCAGAATGCACAGCAGTGGTGTTCCAAAAAGTCTCTCAATTTGAGTTTGTCTTATTTTTTCTCCAGGATCAGATCCAGGTACAAGGTGACTCTGTCTTCCAATTTTAAAAGGAAACACTTTAGCTCATCACTGTTGATTTTTAGAGTGAAAGATTATGATGCTTTGTAGATTAACATGTTTGCAAAGAGGGGTGTGTAGCAGAAAGATCTGAAGAGGTCCCGAGGGTACTTACCTCTGACAAGCGAATGACCTTTCTGAATGAAAAATACTTTAGGAAATTGACCCACTAGTACAGATGGCAGGTGGATCAAGAGAAAAGAAAGGTCCACTCTTTTCTTCCTTGATAAGAAATCAAGGGAAGCCAGAATTTCTTCCCGTGTAACTTGGAAATAAATTAAACATCTGAAGAATGGTCTCTTTTGCCTGAGAACCTCAAAGGTCCTAGGTGTCAGGAAACAAATAGGTGTTCTGCTCCTTGGTAGCAAAAGAGTGACTTTCTGCACATAATGCCAACGTATCAGGTGACAGAAGAAAACCAGAGCCCGCATCCCGGTGCTGTGTCTTTTCAGTTCATTCTGAGAATGATCAGAAATGTTTTAAAAAAGCATTTTTTTTGTGAGCCTAGGTGTGACTAGTGTCTTTCATCATTGAGAATTCTGAAAACTCTTCATAATAAATGACTTTTAAAGCAGATGGACAGAAAAGATCTGTTCATCCCTAATTGGGATGAACAGAGAGAAATCAAATGACTGCCAGTTAATGCTTTGGGTACCATGAGCAACATTAGGGGTGGTTTTGAAGACGCCAAAGGTTAGACGTGAAAAGAAAGAGTTAATCCTTCCATGTATGTAAGGTCCCCTGTGGGAAAGTATTCCTGAATGAGTTACTATTCCACCTAAAATTAAACCCCTGGCTCCTCTGGTGTAATGAACTATAGTATTGCATTTCTTCTCACTGATGGATCAGTTTTCTAATGAATTGAAAAGAGAATACCCAGTGGTTTCTTTTGTGTGAAGAAAACAAGATAAATATTAGCCAGGAAAGGTCATTTTAGTTTCCAGTATGCGGAGAGTTCATTATGACTGGGTCTGATGAATTACAGTATGTAATTCTTTTCAATAGCAGAAGGTCACGTCATACCCTTGGGTGGACATGAGGACCAACATGCTTTAATAAAGTTGGAGGATCTGGTAGATGAACATTCTCAAGTCATTTTTTTCTCCTAGAAATTCATGTTTATACAGTTATTCAAAGCCCGTTCTCTCTCACTGAAGTAATCATTCCAGGCATGAGCTGTCTTCCCTGCAGTGACAGAGGGGCGGGGCTGGAACCTTATTACCTGAAACTTTTTCTAATCCAATTTGTGGAATTATCTTTGCGTTATTGAAAAAGAAAAACTTCAGTTGTGCTTTGTGGGGCATTTTGTAATGGGTTTGTCACGATTCTAAAATAGACTGCATTTTAAAGATTTTTTAAAAATTTATTTTTTAGCTGATATATAAAAACAAAAAAATTAACATGTTTAGTGAGATTGTTTTTTGATATATCTGTATCTATATTTATATCTATCTATATCTGTATCTCTAACTCTATATCTATGTATATAGTATTGTTTAGGTCAGGTAAACCATATTGAATTCCTCAAAAATTTTATTTCTTCATGGTGAAAGCTGTCAAAATATTTTCTTCTAGCTTTTTGAAGTTTATATTACATTATTGTTACCTGTAGTCATCCTACTGTGCTATAGCACACTGAAAGTTCTTGCTTCTCTGTAAATATAACTTAATATTCTTTGATCAACTTTTCCCTATCCCTTTGTCTCTTCCCAGCTTCCGATAACCACTAGTCTACTCTCCATTTCTGCAAGGTATGATCAAAATATATAGCGCATGTTTAATTTTAAAATATTTTCAAAGTAAAAGACACGTTGTCATTAATTCCCCTCAAAATACTTCCCCTTCTTCAGTCACACTTTTCCCATTGTTCTTGCTGCTTTCTGAAGCACTTCTGCACGTTCCCTTCAGTGTGTGTCTTTATGAGGTCTGATAAAAATATACGGTGAGTGCTGTTGCCAAGTACCACCCAATGGAAAGGAGAGCTCCTGAAAACATTATGGTGTGTCCTCACTCAGTTTATTCAATGAATCTAGCCCCGTATAACTTCTGCTCTTCCCCACAGTCAAAATAACCACAGAAGGTAAATATTTTGATTCTATTCGGGACATCAAGGCTGTACAACTAGACGCTTATGAAAGAGGACTTCCAGAACTGCTTCACAGAGTGGGAAAGGACCATGGGACAAGTGTTTTTGAAGTGAGGAAAAAATGGCGGTGTATCATTTACTGTAATAATTTTTTTTTTCCTTTTTGAGACGGGGTAGCCCAGGCTGGCCTCAAACTCACTCCTGCCTCAGCCTCCTGAGTGCTAGGATCACAGGTGTGCACCACCACACCCGGCTGTAATAAATTTTTGAAGACAGTTGAACTTTCACTGTAGTTTTTGATCATACCACATGTCATCTCTACTTTTTTAGATTCCATGTATGAATGAGATCATATGGTATTTGTCTTTTTGTGCATGGCATATTTTACTTAGCATACTGATCTCCATTTCCATCTATGTTGCTGCAAGTAAAAAGATTTCCTTCTTTTATGTGGCTAAATAATATTCCATTATTTGTATATAGCACACCCTTTTTTGGGCCATTCATCAATTGATGGACAGTTGCTGGTTTCATTTACTGCTCTACATATACCCAATAGTGGCATTGCTGTGTTGTATGATAGATCTATTTTTCAGTTTTTTGGGAACCTCCATTCTGTTTTCCATAATGGCTGTACCGTTACATCCTGCCAGCAGGATATAAGCATTCTCTCTTCTCTATATCCTTGTCTCAGTCGTTTTGATGATAGACATTCTCACTTGGGTGAGGTTTTAATTTCCATTACTTGTGATTTTGATGTGCACTTCCTCAATGATTAGTGAGTGGTGCTGAGCTTTTTGTTTTGTTTTGTGTTTTTGAGGCAGAGTCTCACTATCTGGTCCAGGCTGGCCTCGAACTCACTATGTAGCCCAGGTTGGCCTCGAACTCAGGGCAGACCTCTGGCTCAGACTTCCAAGTGCTGGGGTTTCAGGCGTGCACTACCACTCCTGGCTGCTGAGCATTTCTTAATGTATCCTGTTTGTCATTTTTATGTTATCTTTTGAGAAATGTCTTTTTAGATTGATTGTCCATTTTTAATCAGTTATTTGTCTATTTGCTAAGGAGTTTTTGCAACTTCTTATGTATTCTGAATGTCAACCTTTCTCTGATGTGTGGTTTGTAGTTGTTTCCTTTGCTGTGCAGAAGCTTTTCAATTTGATGTAACCCTATTTATCTATTTTTGCTTTTTTTGTGTGTGCTTTGAAGTCTTGTCCAAAAAATAATTGTCCAATTTTTGTGTCTCAGTGCCCAGTTTCTCCTGTGTTTTCTTCTAGCAGTTTCATATCTTACATTTTAGTCTTTCATCCATTTTGAGTTGATTTTTGTAACTGGTGATAGGACTTACCTTTCATTGTTTCGCATGCGGATACAATTTCCCCAGCAGTGTTTATTGAAAACGTTGTCTTTTCTCCAATACAAGTTCTTAGCACCTTTGTGAAAAGTTAACTAACTGTAGATGCACGAATTTATTTCTAGGATCTCTATTCTGTCCCATTAGTCTACATGACTGTAGTTAGGCCAGCACCATGCTCTGGTTTCTACTGCTTTATAGTAGAAGTCAAGTAGCGTAATGTCTCCTGCTTTTTAAAGAATATTGACTCTTTCAATCCATGAACATGGATGTCTTTATAAATTTTTCTGTCCCCTGGTTTTTTCATCAGTGTTTTGTAATTTTCATTGTACAGATCTTTCACCTCTTTGGTTAAATTTATTTCTAGGTGTTTTGTTTGGTATTGTTTTTAATAGATACTATCAATGCGATTGCTTTCTTGATTTCTCTTTAAGGTACCTCGAAAATCATTCTTATATTGTATTTAAAGCTTTAATATTTATTATTTCCTAGCATTTTCTCTGCTCTCTACCACTGGGAAGGATGTGTTAAACTTAGAAACACTGAAAGTGGGATAGTTATAGGTTCTATTGTTTTGTTTTTAAAATGTTTTTGGTTTAGAATCTTCTGAATCCTTTAAAAATGCTACCACCAGGTATAAATGTCCTTTTAAGGTCTGTGCAGTAAGGGAAAGTATGGTGTCAATTAAATATTCACAAGTGTTCTTTATATTTTGGCATAATGAATTCTGTTGAAGTCTTCTCCTTCTGGTCAGCATTTTTTGAAAAGCAACCTTGTAGATTATCTAGCAGCACCTCAGGTAAATATAGCCAAATCTAGGAACTCAGATCTGCAGGCTGTCCTTTGCATTACTCTATGACTTTTGGCAGATTGCATAACTTCTTGGGACTAGATTATCTCCCATTTCTGCTTCATACATTTATCAATAAATTGGGGAGAGTAAAATTATGCACATTGAAGGGTCTCAGGTCTTACATCAAAATTTGAATGTCTTTTCTGTTTTAAGAATGTTTGCTTTGAAACTGTTGTATAATGTGTTGACTTGTAAGTGGCTAGTTAGAATTCTGCATCGCTTCCCCCCTAATATTAAGACACTTTACTAATGTGGAATGGTTTGGACATTACTTGCTTGAAAGTGCAGGCATCAGGGTAAACACCGTTATTTTGCCCTGGAAATCTGTTTCATTTCAACACTAAAATGCTAACTGATTCCTGTTTTTTTAAAAATAGGTCTTACAAATTAAGAAAATTTGGAGCTGCAGACATGGTTGGTCAGAGCTACAAATGGGAATTTGAAGTCACTCTGAAATACATCCTGGGATAATTGTATTTGACTGGAACCAAATCTTATGAAATCCTGAAGGTAAAACAATTTCAACAGGCACCTAGAGATAATATCTTGATAAATTATCGAATATTTAGCATCACTATGCATGAATAGAAGCCTTTTCAAACTGAGGCTATTTGGGAGTTCAGGGAAATGCCATTCTTTTAAATTTAACTTTCTTCTTTGAAGAGCAGTGCTTGGCTTCTTCAGTGAGGGAAAAGGCAAGGAGAGAGAGAATTATTGAACAGCTTTTCTGCCCCAGTTCCTCCTCCTCACCCTGGCATTTCTCTGGGGAGCATAGCTGCGCTGAATTTTATACTTGTTTTAGGGACAAAGAACTTGTTGCTACTCTCCCAGGAATTGTTGAGATAAGGAGATGGATCAGGGGTCAGCCCTTGGGATTTTAAATGTCTGCCCTTGAGATTTGATTTCGGGGGTTTGTTGTGTTGATCCAACTAGCAAAGCAGAAACTATCCTGAAGTTATGGAACAGAAGGAAGTGCATTTAGGGAACTGGGGACACAGATGATGGGAGAGCCAGAGAAGTCAAGGAAGCAGTAATGGAGACACCCTTGAGTCAGCAGCTGCAGGAAGCCACCGCCGTGCCTGGGTGGCAGGACAAAGGAAGCAGTGCTGGGCAGAGCCAAGGGATGGGGGCTTCAGGGGAAGCTGGATCCATAGCGGAACCTTCTGCAGGAACTAGAGTGGAAGGGAAGAAACAGCCGCTCTGTACATGCTGTGAGACAGAGAAGGTGGAGAGCGACACCTAGACCTTTCCTTTCTTCCTTCCTTCCCCTTCCAGCCCCTAGGCATTTCCTCCACCTGGCTGAGGTGAGGGCCTGGGAAATACACCCTGGAGGTGCCCTCTGCCAGCCCTCAGCACAGGGGGAAGAGGGAAGAATAGGTCTGAAGGCAAAACAGGCCCAGGTTGGCATTAAGTTCATATATTTTGAAAAAAACTTAAAAAATTGGTTTTGTTTTTACAGTATCATTTTCACATCAGAAAAGTAGCCCATCTCTTGGCTGTGTCGTGATTCATTTAACCAGTTCTGTATCGTTAAACATTGGGGTAATTTTTCATGTAATACACGATAGCCAAAACTCCCCATGCATTTCTGGTTATTTCTTTGGGATTAAATCCTGCAGGCTATTTGTTAGATTGAAGGATATGAATATTGTAAATCTTTGACTCACATTATCAAATTATCTACAAATTTATACTTTTATCAAGTTAAATACTTTCCATATTATAGGAGAGATATCTCATTCTGTTGCTACAGCCAACGGACATCGCTATTTAAAAATGTATGCTAATTTTATGGGCTGAAAAAGTGCCCCTTAGTTATTTATTTTGCATATTTATTAGGCATTTAAACTTCTCCTTTTGTTGCATTGTAAAGCTCTCAGGCTTCAGAGACGCAACTAGGAGACTGGCACAAAAACAGAAAAATAATTGGAATGGGTAAATTTTAAAATGGACATTTTTTGCTATTGACATCTTTATAATATAATTACATTCATCTTGAGGAATTAGAACCTTGATAATTTGTATTACCTGCCTTTCCCTCAGCCCTCTCCTTTCCCCCCTTCCCCAGGTCCCCTTAAAAATGGAGCACATTCAGTAGTGATATTCGAAGTCATCTCTGAGAAGACAAGTTGTTCCAGAGTGGGGGGTGGGGTGGGGTTAGGAGCCGTGGGCTGGTTGGGAAGGGTTTGCTGGCCCCACATCACATTTTAGTAAGCAGAATGGGAATTTTTATACCTCAGAGGACGGGTCTTTTCTTGAGGGTGACTCCCATACCCCACGAAGTCCATTACACATGTGCCTGGAATCTTCTGTGAAGACGGACAGTAGTGGACGTGGATGCTTTGCTAAGCTCCCTCTTCAAGAGTGAAGGGTTTATTCCTTCCACGGTTGGAGTATGGTCAGAAGATAGCTCATAGTGGCCCACTCTCAGAATTGCCCTCCACTAAAAAGATCCACCTTACCAAAACGACCCTCTTTCTTTGGGGGTTGCTCGTGTCCATGGCCAGATAACATTTCACATAAGGGACTTGTGCACCTGCACGTTTTGAATCTTCAGGGAGATTTCCGTGTTTTAGGCTGCTTGCTGAATGTCCACCCATGAGTACCAGGGGAAGCTTGTACATAACATGAGGGTTCCTTGGATCCATGATGGTGATAATGGGCACTAGGAGGTATGTGCCAAGCGGAGCCCAATATAGCATTTCAGACGCCAAGTGCCTTTTTATGGCCCTGAAAGGCTATTAAGATACATGCCAGGTGTGGTGGCACATGCCTGTAATCCCAGCCCTTGGGAGGCTGAGGCAGGCAGATTGTTGTGAGTTTGAGGCCAGCCTCAGCTATATACATGAGCTCAAGGCCAGCCTCAATTACATAGTGAGATCTTGTCTGAAAAAACTGTTTATTAAGAAACAAACAAGAGAAAGTTAATCAAGCTGTACGTAATTCTCTTATGTTAAAAAAGGTAGAACATTAAGGCTAAGATAATTCATCTTTGATATTTGCCAATTATTTCTCTTGTTTTTGAATAGACCACGCACCCACACTGTGAACTGAATTGTCTTAGAGTAACTGTTTTGACCCTGTCTAGCCATGTAAGGTTCAGTTTATTCTCCCCTTCTGTCCCCCATTCATCTAGAAGATGAGTTGCATCTTCTACAACTATTCAGCCAGTGACACCAGAAAGCTCTTGGGCCCCATGTGCAAAAGTCTTGTGAGTTCCTTCAGATGTAGAAACCATGTACCTTCTGTGTGAATCCAGTTCTAAGTGTGTACCTTTAGAATGTCATGATAGGAAATAGAATTTAACCCCCATGTTCTAGCAGGGAAACTTGAACCACACCTTGGAGATTCAGAAATGGACTTCCCTGACATGTGCTGCCAACTTGGAAAGCCCTTAGTTATAAAAGGTGGCTATTGGAGAGTGAGTTAATGTTCAATTCCAATTCAAGTTTGATCGGCCTTTGGTTTTCTTGGGGGAATAGAAGTCAAGAGCCAAGGGTCTCCCAGGCCCTTTCGCTGCTCTGAGGTGGGGCTTCCCAGGGAGCCTGGCTTTGCCGGGACCTCACTGACTCAAGCTGTGTTTTCCCTCTAGGATGAAAGTCTGTGCCAAGTCAGTGCTGCTGTCCCACTGGGTCTTCCTGGCCTACGTGTTGATGGTGTGCTGCAAGCTGATGTCTGCCTCTAGCCAGCACCTCCGAGGACATGCAGGTAAGCGCTTTAAGCTCATTATGCTCTGCTGAGATCAGTTAATAAAAGTCCACATTTTAGACACAGGCCAGTAAACCAGAGGAAACAGGCAGCGCCACAGAGAAAGGAGCGAGACTTCATGGTTTGGTGCTCGAATAGCGCTGCTCCTGCCGTGCTGTCAGGATGTCTTTAAGGCTGTTTTTTAGATTTTTCTTTTCCTGGGTACACTTCAAGTTTTTCGTGCTTTTCTTGCAAAGAGTGACAGAAAACCAGCAGTACACAGTGTGCGCACGCATGTGCTGCAAGCACTGGAGAAGGAGGAACATGTGGACTGATAAACTTCACCCATGGCTAGAGTGAAAGGAACTCTCGGATAATTTAAGACCTGTCTGTGATACATGGAGAAAAGATGCTGAATGATTAATAAAAAACAAAAACAAAGCAAAGCAAAACAAAAAAGGGAAAGAGAAACAGTGGAAGCTTTTGCACGGGCACTAAAAGGAAAGCTTTTTTTTTTCCAGTACCAGGAATCGAACTCATGACCTCGCGCTTGCCAGGCAGGCGCTGTGCCGCTGAGCTAAATCCCCAGCCCTAAAATGAAAGTTTTAGATGCGGTCATTTTAATAATTTCTACTGAAACTCCTATACATGTGTTGCTTTTTTCTTCAACTCAGGGCTTTGGTACTGAAGTGTGTGTATGTGTGTGTGTGTGTGTGTGTGTGTGTGTGTGAGAGAGAGAGAGAGAGAGAGAGAGAGAGAGAAAGAGAACGAATGAGAATATCTTGTGCTTTCCTCTCCTTTGTGATAGCTGTATTAAAAGTGACCCAGATTTGGAAATCCTCAGAGAATTATTTTCCTGAATAATTCCCATTTGTCAATGGACTCATCCAAATCATTACGGATTCTACTATGGTGATTTGGGTGCGGTGGTGTCGGAACTGCTTTGGCTTTGCTAAATCACGTAGGTGTCAGACACGTACATCCTCTCTCCAAAGGCTTTTGTGTGTGGAAACATTCATGCAGTAGCCCTACCGCTAGGTATATAAGAAGGCATGCTCTCTACTCCCTTACTCTGGTATGTTAAGGTTATCTGTAATTTTAGGCTCAAGGTAATTTCTTAAATGTCTCACAATTCAGTTTTCCCTCCTCAAGCAACAGTTAGAAGAAGATGAAAAAAATAATGATTGAAGTTGCAGCAAATCAGTGTAAAATCAGCAGCATGCGGCTGCTGTGGAGTGCCCACAGCTAGCTGGTGATGCGTGGTGTGCCTTTTGATGAGTTTGTTCAGAAGGACAGGGTGTTTGAAGTCATTAGTCTTATCTGTGTAATACACATCTCTCCTCTTGAATGGAGGTTAGGAGTCAGGCTAGTCAACACGCAGATCATTTCAGTGGGGCCTCTTATCAGCAGCAGATTGCTGGGCTTTCTGGAGGGGTTGTGTTGCAGAGTGATTAAAACTTGAAGGAAATAAAGGGTATCACTGAACTTTACCTTTTTGTCTGTGTGGCAATCGCTGTTTCATAGGTAGCTCTGAATTTGCGAAAGGTAGAACTGTGAGGCAAATCTAAGTTAAGATGGAATTGTGTACTTAAGAAAGGCTGATAGCGTCTTCCATATCAGTAGAAGTTCAACATATGTCAGGGATGGTGTAGGGGGTCTGAGCCAAAGACCAGTCCTGCCAAGGAAGTGACAGTTTTTCTGAGATTGCTAGATGACTTCCTTTGGGTTCTCAGCACACATGGCCTGCGTTTTGGGTTCTCTTTGGGCTGTTGCAGATTCCTCTCCCTTCATCTTTGGAATATAAGTGCCTGTTACGTCATGCCTCACCACCCATGAGAGGCGTCAGGGCTGAGTTGGCTTCTGCGGGCTCTGTCCTTTAGCTGAAGATGTGTGCTGCCTGAAGGACCATTTTCTGTAAGCTTCCTTTGCCCAACTGGAGGACCTTCACAGTGGACCTCCCGGGCCTCCTGCAGCACAACACACCTCCCAGACTGAGGACTCCTGAGTCCTCCTACAAGGCCCTACATTGTGCCCCGATGCCTGTGATGGAGTGGGTGCTGAAATATTTATTAATAGGCTGATTACTTTTGTCTATTTGTGTCTTGGTTACTTTTCTCATTCCTGGGACAAACTACTGGGCACGCACAAGTTAAAGGATGAAAGGCTTATTTTAGCTCACAGTTTGTAGAGTTTTCAGTCCACACCCAGCTGACTTTCAGGTACAGTGGCATGGCAGAGGGGAATCACAGAGGAGAAATAGTTCATGACGTCACAGGCAGAAGGCAGAAAACAGCAAGCAGCAAGTCTTCCTTTCCCTTTTATTCCATCCAGGCTATAAGCTTTTTGGGTGGTGCCACCCACACCCAGGGTGGGGCTTCCCTCTTCAGTAAATCCATTCAGGCATACCCAGAACTATGCTAATTCCAGTCAGTGGACTAATTTTGTACCATACACTTTTAATCCCAGTATCGCACACCCTAAACACAGCCAGCTCAGAAAAGCCCCACTATGAGCACACGAGGCTTTGGAAGGACGTTTAAATAAAAACCATAGCGATTTGTTACTGTCTTAAAAGTTACATAGCTTCCTTTTGGTGGTAAAAGTTCCAGATAATATAGGCAATTATGAAAGTTACATCCTTTTAACTTTTTCTTGGCCGTTTTCCTAGGATAAAAGTATGTGTATGCCAATATGTATTTATACACACATATGTTACTGTGCACCCTGTTTCATAACCACCCCAGATCCCTATTCCCATTTAATTAGAGTTTAGAAGTCTTTTCATTGGGTACTCACAGATCTCTATTACTCCAAGACAGCGTGGTACTTTTTTGGGTGATTGTACCATAAATTATGTGGTCATTCCAGTTTTGGTTAGTTTATTACCAGACTTGTACAATTGTGCATGTCCTGTCTTTGGAAAAGTTTCTTCTAGTGAAATTGCTGAGTTACAGTACATGTAAGTGTGTCAGTGACAGTAGACTAATTGCTATAACAAATAGGCCATCCAGATCCCAACAGAAGAAATTTTCATTCTTTCTCATGAGCATTGGGTGGCTAAACAGGTGAGCCGAATGGTCTCTCCCTGTTACAATCGAAGCTTTGTTCTTTTCAACATTTGTTTTTCAAGAATGGTGTGGTTTTGTCTCCATTCCAGCCAGCTGAGGGTGAGGAGGGAAACAGCTGTGTGTGTGGAGGGTGGGTTTCACCTGGAAGATACTACTGAGACCAACCTAGGTATGGACGTTCTGCCCTGCCGTTGGCTAGGGCCTCATCATGACTACACCCAACTGCAAGGGAAGCTGGGAAACACAGTCTAGCTGTGGGCCCAGGAAGAAGAGATGAAAATTTTCTGATCCAACACCATGCATTTCGTATTTTGAGAATGCCAAATGTTTTCCAGAACTTTTGGAGTTATTTATCTTTCTACCAATAGTAATGGGAATGAAAATCCTCTTCAACCGTAAGTACTGTCAAGTTTTAACGTTTTGCTAGTAAAGCCATAAAACTGCAGTTTGGTGGTTGACTAAAGACTTAATATATTGATAGATTATTTGCATTTGTTTCTCTTTGGACTATTTTGTCAGTTACCCACTTTTTGGGGTCTTATTCATTATTTACTTGCTGATTTGTGAAAGGTTTTGTGAATTGGGAGCACTGGAGGATGAGCAATTGCAGGGGTGCAGTGCTGAGAAATTCTGCTCTGCTGCGTGAGTTGCAGGCAGCCTGACAGCTGGAGCGAGCTGCAGAGAGTGGCCCACGGAAGCTTATGTGTGAGCGTCCAGGAAGGTGCTGGGCACAGGGCCTAAGGCTTTGGGCCAGTGCCTGTCAATCAGAGGAACTGTGGCCCCAGGAAACCCTAGTTAGAAGCTTTCTGGATACTTCTAAGTGCTTAGCTTAGCAGTGTGGGTTGTTGATCGTTGTGTATAAATAAGGAGATGTGTTACTACCATGTCCCACCCAGCTGGCCAAGACAGAGACAGAGGGGAAGAAGGTGGGAGCCTACCACCAACTTGGGAGATGAGAGGTGTTAGTTATGGACTGAAAATTCAATTTTAGTTCAAATGTTAAAAAACAAAACAAATGCCACTTAATTTTCACATGATGCCTGGTAGGAATCCTTTGATTTAGACGTTTGTTTAGAATTCTGTTTGTCAAAATAATGGAACAGGAGAGCCAGTATAGGTCTTCTGTAGCCTCCAGCCATGGGATAGGTGAGGGGACCGCACTGGTAGGTCATTTCTCCTAAAAGGAAGCCAGAGTTAACTTTGTTATTTCTTAACCAACAATTTGTGCTTTTTTTCCCTTGTAAATGACATAATCTCCCACAAGAGGGCAGCAAACACAGCACAATGGGAAGACGGCTGGCTGGAAGGCAGTGTCAGAAACTGGGGATCCTGTGAAATGAATGGTATGGGGGTGTTTCTGAAACCTTCATCCCGGGTAGACATGATGAGGTTCGGACCTAAAGCACTCTCCAGTCCCAAGATTTATCCCTGGGACTATTTGGACAATTTAACAGTTAGATTCTCCCCTTTGCAGATAGCCGTACTGCTCTTTTGGTGGAGCTGAGGGTGTCAGGAGCTTGGACGCTACTAAATTACAGGATCATTTTAATAGTGCTGTTTCTCCAGAGAGCTTCAAGCATGTCCTGAACTGGGCTGGCTCACCAAATGCTACGGTGTCTGGGGACTTTTAAACCCGACTGGTGTCAGTGTACAAAGGCCTCCAAAGTCGGTGCACACTTGGCAATGAGGCAGCAGAGGAAATCCAGGGCTGGGGGCCGAGAGGCAAGCACAATCCTGGTTCTACCACTCCATGCCTGTGTGACCTTAAACAGGCCACTGTCCCTCTTTGCACCCGTGTCATCATCTGTAAAAGTGCAATGCGAATGCAAGCCTAATTTATGTGGATCCGCTGGGGCAGCTCAAAAAAAGTATCATCGTTCAAAAAGCTAACTAGAAGAGAGTCACGTTATGAACACCGAGCTTTTGCTCCACCTTCAGAAAGGAGAGAAGACC